TTTATAAATCATCCGAAGATTTACATATAAGTGGACCAATCGCTCGAGTTACTTGACGTTAATTATTTTTCAAATTATGAAAAATCTTTAAAAAAAAAATTTGACCAAGAAGCCAATCTATCGATTAAGATAGATCCATAAGATGCGGCAGGAAATTCCAAGTATTTACAAGAAGTAAGAGATACACGTGTCTTTTTGTAAAAGGATGCCGTACTTCCTCTTGAAAATCTAGATCACGATTAAAAAAAAAAAAGAAAAATATTACTCGATCTTGAATCCTAATCAAAGAAGAAACGGAAGCGGATGCTCCATAAATCGGATCCATTAGATATCATGATCCCGATGCCGATCATAATTTTTTTAATAGGTTCAATCAAACCTATAACTTCGATATTGGTATAATAAGAAAAAAAAATTGGGACTATTCACGAACGTAGAAAATGATCGGTCCCAAATTTGGAATTAAAAGAAAAAAGGAGTACAGTAGGAAATACGTCAAAGTCAATCCTGGCATCCTGAGGGAGTTCCTGGGACTCGTTACTCTACAGCACCCAAATATTCCTAGGGTAAGTTCAGGCCCAAAGTTAGTCCCCGTGAATGGGACTCTAGGATCCACCCCCATTAAACCCTCACAGTGGGGTGTCCTTTTACACGAAAGGCAAACGAACTGGATTCTCTCGAGAATTCCCACAGCCACGTTGCCAGATCTTCCAGGAGGTGCCCCGAGAAATTGGGACTCCTAAGTCCCAAAACGGCCATGGGTATCCTTACACCGAGCCATCCCTTCGGGATAGCGCATTTCGGCATAGCTAAATAATCCAAGTAAATTCGAACTTGAAAACTGCGGGGTTTACGTGAAAATTATTTAATTACACTAAATAATAGTCAAATCAAATTTCCTATCGGCAATTAAAAATTACCTAAATCATATCTCGACCGTGCTTCGAGACGAAAAAAAATTCCGTACATTTATGTATATAAACGACAATAGACTTTTTATAAGACTTAGATTCGGCTGGTGTATCATTTCATTAGGCTATTAAATAATTAAACCCACCATTCCTACAGGCTCGTGTGTAACAGCTGTGAATACGTTCATTGTAACGGAGCGAGAACCTCACACACTATAGACACGTGATATTTATGTATACAGTGTTGTTCAAAATTGATTTACCGACAGACATAAATTTGATTTTGACAATAAAACCAATATCATTGGGTGCCCCAATCCTAAGTATTCGCGTGTATTACCGTGTCATCTGTGAACTCGCCATGAGGTATCGTCACGAGGTTTGCATTAAAATTTTTGAAATTCAAAAATTTTTTTTTTAATTACTATTAATATGCAACCACTGACTTTCCCACGACGACAACGATAACGGGTGGCTCAAAGTTACTGATCTTAGGGTCAAGACCACTTCAACTGATCCCGATTACGAGAATCGACCCTGAACGTCTATGACGCATCGTTGCGAATCATCATGCGCCAATCATTTATTCGCGCAAACGATCTAATGAACGAGCGAAGGTACCCGGGAGGTATGGATTTCAAAAATTTTGTGGTTTCGTTATAAGCCATTTTTTTAATGTCCACTTCCGAAAACCCGACGCCTTTTAAAACAAGATAATCATCCTGAATTCATCATCTCTTGCATCGTGGATGAATGACTTTCCCACGGGAACTGATCATTTGTTTTTTTTTCTAGATCACTCAACCCGCCCTGATTTCTTTTCTCGCACGGTTCCGATCCTCCTTGCATAATTTCTAATAAATTATACATACCCACATACAGTTACGTTAAGTTTCATGGAAACACATCCAGACCGACAGTCGCGACGAATTACTTAAACGCAATCGACATGGAAATTTATGGTTAAAATCTCAAGATTTACACTCCAAATAAATTTCCTCAAACGTTCTTGGTCCACTGAACAAAAGTTACGTCGAACGGACTCTAGCTCGATAGTAATTGAGCCGTCCTGCATTATACCGAGCTATAGGAAAATACTCGAGCAATACAAAACTCAAGATACATGAGTTTCGTCCGCGGTCGATGGGTAATTCAAATTTTCGCGCCATAAAATTCATCGAGCACCCAATAAGTATTCATTTTCTCAGGTGCCGACCAACCAGTAAAAATATCCCCAAAAAAGGCACTAAACTCCCAGACCGAAAAGTTACAAAAGAAAAAAATTTCAAAAAATTAAAGATAATGATAATTTCATTCAACAACTTTTTTTTCCAAATTCCCAAACTTGCCGACTAAAATATATAAATAATCATCATTCTCACTGTCCCAACTAACAGTAAGCGTTCCGTTCAGTACCTCCTACTTCGTACTTCCTACGATGAATATCAAGAGAATATAAAGAGACATCGGACCAAGTTTAACACGTCCCGGACTTGTACCCCAACGTTATGGACTACGATTCGTTCTTACTTTATGCTTGGCTGACTGCCGTTCCTCTATGTCTTTCCTCCGTGGAGTGTAAGTCGACAAAAGAGGTCTGCGTTACCTCACGAACGCCAAGAAACGCCTTCTAGACTTCCCATGATGCATTGGTATAGAAATATATATATATATATAGCAAAGGTACAACCCAGCAAGCGATACGACAGCGACATAGCAAAGTATCCGTGGAATCGTGAAGCCATGTGGCTGTTGCACAGAGCGTCCATTTTCAAGATGGAGAATTTTTCACGCGAGAGAATGGATTCCTCGGAGATAAATGATCGCTGACGAATGGGTGAGAAAAAGGGAGAGAGAGAGAGAGAGAGAGAGAGAGAGAGAGAGAGAGAAAAAGTGACGAGCCAAGATAAAAAGAGACAGAGATATAAATCATGAAGAAACGGTAGCGAGTCTCTCGACGGTGTCGACGCCCGACGACGCCCGTCGATTCCGGCGACAAAAAGCTATTGGCAATTCTAGCGGTGTGTACGGGACATAAGAACGAAGCTTCGTTGCTTGTGCAAGAGTAAGTTGGTTGCTCAAACAAGAAAGACGGGGGGTGGGTGGGAGTTTACGCCATCCCCCCTCCCGAAAAAAAAAATTACTCCAATTTTGGTTACTTCGAAGAAATTCAGGTACCGTTACGCAAGTTCGTGAGGTTGGTACCTGCATTTAATTTTTTATTTTTTTTTTTTTCAAATTCATTCCGACTTCCTGGTTTTTTTTTTGATACTTGGCTACTTGACTGTATATATGTATATGTGACTTGTGATTCGAGTCTCACCTAACTGATCGTTATCACTGAAAACAACCAGAGTTCCCGTGGAGTGCGTTTAGCATTGGCCTGAATTTCTTACGCGAGCTCTGGGTGAGCGTATCTTATTAAGCCCTAATTAACCGTTTAACAAGATATATTTAACCCATGGTGTGCGTACGAGCGTCGCGACGTAATGCGTAACGGTGACGGCGAGCGTGGCTTTCTTGAGAAAGATAAATAAACTAAATCTTTGTGCTATTAGATACGTTGTATTGGCGGACGGTGGGATGACTCTTTCGAAAGTCAGGGGTCCGTGTTGAAAATTTTGGGGAAAAACAAATTAATTGTTTGACCTTTAATTGTTTATATACGTTCGTGTATATATATATATATATATATATATATATCGTCTGGATATTTATTTTATTTTGATTCGTCATCGGATATGTCTTTGCTATTATCTGGTTTCACGATAAGCGATTATCGGGAAACGATAAGTTTTGCTCAGCCCAGCAAGTTGATGAAATTTTTTGAAAAGTATATCAGGTGTAATGCGTGTGATTACGCGTAACGCGATTAAAATGACAGACGTGAAATTTGACGATTTTTGTAAGATTTGTTATGCTACTCTTTTTATTCTTACTACTCCGAACTGTTATTTCGAAATGGCACGTAGAGGTTATTGTTTTTAAACTCGAAATAATTATACGAAAAATTAAGATTGTGAATTAATAACGCATGAATTTTATTTCCCTTTACGAGTGACGTATACATGTTACTTGCAGATCGGAGCAAGTACGATTTTGAAGATTATATTAATCTTTAAAATATTCTACAGACTATGGACGAATTTTAATAATTTTCAAAAATATTAAATATTTTGACTCACCCCTCTCCTCGATGACGTCCGAGGCTGCGAACCACGCCAGAGCCAGGATAAAGGTCCCGATGATCCTCATCCTCGCCATTCTGATCCTCATCCTCATCCTGAATCCTTGCTGGTCGTTGATCACAAACACTGCATATTCACAATTGTACACAACCACGCGCACTTTGAAAAAAGAAACAATCTCAGCACTGTGTATACTATATAAAAATATAAATATCGGCACTGTCGCGAAACTCTTGACGAAAACCACCTGTAGGCCTGGCAGTCGCGAGTCTCCAATTGAAACTCGTCGTCCCCGGCACCTTGTTTAATCTAATAAATTATTACCGCACGGGCACAAACTTCCTCCCTCGTTACGAGCAGAGAGAAACGTTCCCGAAACGATAGTTCGAATAAACGTCGTAAAAAGAAAAGAAAGTATCACTCGCGCACGTCACGATTTTAGTTTAAAAGGCACGTCGATAATCCTCGTTCAGACAGCGTAAAATATTTTCCGAACCATCGTAATTCCGTGCGCGATCGTATTAGGGGAAGTTGTTAGAGATACGAATATTATTAAGAACACTCGAAGAACCACTGATAAATACGTTATTAACGGGTATACTAATAAATACACGTATTATCCTTGTTTTATTATCGCGTACTAAGGAAGGCCACTTTGGCGTCTCTCGCGGACAACCTTACTCCCACGCTGGCTAAGTCAAGAATACGCGCGCCCTGTCAACCGTCGAGTCTTGTTGGGTTTCGTCCGGTGTCCGCCAGGTGGCGCCAGGCCCGAGGGCGCTCCTAGCGGAGAAAATCCGTAACGACGTGGCGGAGATACAGCAGTGACAGGGACGACGGTTAAGTAAGAGGAAAAAAAGAAACAAGAGAAAAGTGAACAGAGGAGTGACAGTACGTGCACAGTGAATCGAACGTGTACGTATACGAGGCGTAAGCGTGACTGTGCTGTAAAGATGTATGAAGGAAGCTGCGAAGACTCCTTGCCGTTCTTTACAGAACCGAGCTTAACCGAAGTGTCACGAGGATGAACGAGGTATGCTTGCTCCTTGCCTTTCATTTTTGTCAATTTAACTCCAATGAGAATAGAGAGAAACCATTGCGGGTCGATGGTTTACGGTGCTTTCTTCGACTCTTTTTCTCCATATTGTGGTGTCTATATGGCAGTCGATGCGAACGAGTTTGATACTCGAGTTTCTGATGCGTATTCCTGCGTAAGAAACCAGTTCGTTTTGTCGGTTGCAAAAATTGTCAGACTCGAGGCAGAACGGACTGGTTTTCCTCGCCGTTGAAGACTAGGAGCACCTTGAGTCTTGAGTATGCTGCTTGTACTTGTTTTTTTTTAAATTTTATTTACCTGTGCCTATACGCATGTACTGCACTGTAAGTGCAAGTATGCAAATATCAGCGTGACGCCATCATGCTCTGTAATATTTTTCAGTCCGCGTAAGATCCTGATAAACAGTGTCTAGAGTCCTATTGAGATGGACGGTTTCCTGTTCACGATTATATCGATTACGTCTTAATAGCTTTGAGCTAAAGAAAAAAATAAAACAACAAGGTCGATACAAGGAAGACAATCGTTTTCTTGGAAATTCAAGTTGAGCGGGAATTTCGAAAATCAGCAAACGCGTCATGCAAATATTAGTGAACGAGGCGTCCACGAGGAGTCGCCAGTGGTCTTACCCAAGTACTGTCTGTACTGCCAACACTCGGCAGTGTCGCTTCCCTTATTTTACTTTTTTTCCCTTCTTTTTTTTTCATTTTTCCCACTAGGTCACCGTTCGCATCTTATGCGGTTCCCACAGGGCGTCCAGGATCTGCAGCCGGCGTTCCACTGTAGTTTTTACATACTAAAAACCAAATGTCTGTTTACCACCGGGTTCGTACCAGACAAGACGGTCGTCGGAGGGTCTGGCAGGGCCCGCAGTGGGCCTTATGCTACATAGAAGGTACTGTGGAAGAGAATAGGATTAAAAGGAAATAAAAGTCCCTGAACGACGAGTATAAATGTTTGGTGAGTTTTGATGCGTTCTGGAAAATATATTCTAGCAGTGTTACCAACGTTTTACGTCACGCAATACGTATTTCGGGTATGTAGCATGTAGGTACAGCATACCGGATACAGGAACGACGTTAACGAATTATTATTATTGTTATCGTTATTATTATCATTATCATTATTTTGTTTGAGTGGTATGTGTCCGTGTATATCCGTGTTACACTGATCCATCGATTTCATCCTCGGGTACTTTCTTGTCCAGTCGGTACGTCTACTTGCTTCTTTTTTTTTCTCTTTCACGTCTCATTTATTATAAATAACAAGATGTATATTTCGTGTGCACGTGTCGTTATTAACTTATAATAGTCAAGCTCCATCTACGTTACGTCACTTAATTAATTAATACGATCGGCATTTATTTCGCTATCGTCTACTTTCTGGTGTGTCCGCTGTATAATTTCGTCGTGTAATTTTATTATTATTATCGATGATATTCATCATTATTATTTTGCTTTTTTTCTCTTTTCTTTTTCTTTGTCTCTGCGTCTCAACGAATTTTCGGATGCATCCGGTATACGGAAGTCTTCCGTGTCTCACTGACAGGGACCGGAAATTCTTTGGGAGCGATACTAGCGCCGCCACTTGAGAACTCGCTGAACGGGTGTCGCTTCCGGATGAGAATGTGAAAAATTAAAAAAAAAAGAGTCTCACGCAAATACGTCCGTCAGCGGTGCATTTTGTATAACCTGCGTAGACGTCCTCGTCTCTGCGCATGCGCTGACCTTAGAAGCTACTACGCTAGCGCTCGTCGTTAATTACTAATAATTATTTATCTTGTTTCAACGCTTGATTTTTTTTTTCTTTTCCATCCCGTTTTTCATTCCCATTCTCTCAATCGTCCTTTCCTCCGCAACGTGCGATACCCTAATATTAAAAATTTCACTTATTTTCCGCCACTTTGCTTACTATCCTTGTTGAGCCATCATGCGTTATTCTGACTTTTACCGATTATACACGTGTATCACATATTGACTGATTTCCCGACTGCAATCGTATGTTTTACCATTCGATTTTTGTATCGGTATTTTTTTTTCAAATAACTATCAACCCTGTACGTGATTTCTCTGGGGACGATTAAAAAAAATGGTTCGTTTTTTGCGTCAGTCTGACGGTCAAGCCACGTGGTCAGGATGTCAGTCAATATCGATTTGTTGTGAGTCACGTGAAAAAATGGTTAACGCGCGACAAAATGAAAAAAAATTCGACATTAAGGACGCTTATAAAACTAAAGGCGGTCACAGCTTTTAAGCTACGTACATTATGTAGCAGGCACGTCTTATCATATCACGCTATAGGCATCGAAACGTCATAACGATATCCTAATGAAATCAATTTTCATTATTATTATCTATCTAGCAACACCTTTGGATTCTATGGTCGTATCGTAATTAAATGGCATAAATTTACCAACGGTGCTCGAGCATATGCGAACCCCTCGCGTGTTCTCTGAATTCTTCATATTTTTTTTTTTCTTTTTGGAGACACTACGACTGTATGTAATTACGGTGCGCGTACATTAAAGCAATAACAAACGTACACGTGTTTCCTAATTTTATTTAAACCGGAACAAAAATTTCCGCGTACCAGTCGGCGTTTGTCGTATAAGCAAAAAAAAAGTGTATATTTTTTAAAAATTTTTTCTAATACTATTTTTCCCTTCTCCCTCCACCTCGTATTCTTACACGTCCCACCCCAAAGATTTCCTCCTTTTTTTTTTTGTAAGAAAATCATTTTTTTTTTTGTAAATTGTAAATTTCCACTTCAGGGCCGTGCTTTGCAAGGGTACCCCGAGGTAGGTGGGAAGAAAATGATAAATAAATGTACAGACGGCATACGTACGATGGTGATAATAATAATTAAGAACAGCAACAATAATAATAATAGTTGTGATAATACATGTGAGAAAAACGAATAAATGTACAAGTAAATGAATAAACGAATATGAGCTAGTGGATCGTGTCGTTGTTTCGCCGTCATTATTCTTCGATTAGGATCGCAATGACTCTTTTTAATTAAACGGTGCTCTGATCGCGTGACGATTATTTGGTTATCGAATTTCTTCGACGTACGCGGAACGTGTTTTGTCTGTCGCGAAAGACATTTTTTTTTTCGAAAATTGGTAATGGACTGCACGGCCATTTTGATTTCATTGAAAAACAATCGTACGAAAAGTTACGTGAGATCGTGCATACGTACTGGATATGTGCAACGCGGTTCACACTCTCTCTGAGTCTCCATAGTGGACTCGCGGAAATTTTTGTCGTTGTTTTTCGATTCAAACCTATATAATATAAACGTATCGATCGATCGATTCGGCAATCGATCCTCCTTCCCACCAAGTATGAGATTACGTATTATTGCGTTGCTATCGCTATTTGACCTGAAATACGAGAACCGACGTGAACCTAAACCGACGCGAAATTCATCAAGGAAAAGTGATCGTCTCACGTCCTACCAATCGGTACACGAATTTCGATGATCTCCCGTATTTAATATGTGTTGTCGGCCGTGTTAATGAAAGTGATGAAACAGAGGAAAAAAAAAAAGAAAAAAAAATGATAAAAACGATTACATCGAATTTTTTTTTCAAAATATTTTGGAAAAACTTAAAACAGCAAAGCATTCGAATTTTATTCGTGCGCGATTTCGTTGTTTTGCGCGTTCTGCTTTTACTCCCTTCCTCCAGTCCTACTTTCTTACCTCCCTTCTCTACAATTAAAAAGTTGATCTACCGATTCGTCTTTCCCATCTCTACCCGCCCCAGTCCCGTCGCCCCCTTAACACTATATTAAATCGTGCAGGTATAAATCATGGCGGTGAAAAGGTGTCTTGGACAAATAGAACGTAGTATTTAGCAGACGACCGCTTCTGATATCGGATTCTCGGTGATGTGTATGGTAGCGGTGGGCCAGTCGATTTTCTTGCTGCAGATATGATTGAGGCCCTCGAGGGAGGCCAGCCTGTAGTCGGCCATTTTTAATGGCGATAGCGGAGCCACTGAAATGAGAAAGAAAAAGGGGAATCCCCTTTTGAATTTTCATGAGGTGAAAATATATTTTTTCTTTTTATCATAGGTTAGGTTAGGTTTTGTGAAAGGATCAGATGCTGTTATCACGAGACGAAGTTTTTTTTTATCACGTGGTGAAATTGTTTATTGTACAGCGTGGGTGCACATACGGGTGGTTAGAGAATGGCGGAAGTTCCATCGAGCAGGAACGCAATTCACATATTTGGTTTTGAGATCTTTTTTCGAAAACGATAAATTTTTTTTTTCTTCGCAAGCGTCTTTTTCGTTATCGATATTGGAAAGAAATGCAAGCGACATGCAAAGTAAAATGTAAAACTGCGTGTAGGTGTTTTTCTTTTTTTGTTTTGTGAGCATACAGCAACAATGACAAGTGATTCGAAGTGATACAAGAGTATTTTTGCTACTTCTATTTGCGGTGCAGTTTTATTGTTTTAAATATTATTTGTTCAGTTCCTACCCAGCGATCGAGAGCCGCTGCAACAAAAACAATTCTTCTGGACGGAGGAAAATAATTGTGTCACTCTCGCGGTTATGCTTGGCTGAGAAATTTCGAGAAGGTCTTAGCGCGATTTTCTTTTTCTTTTTGCACAATCAGACTTCTACCTTGTACACTTTTTTCTTTGCTTTCTCGCTCTTGGCACTTTTACACTTTCACGTAAATGCATATTTTTCTTTTCAGATAAAATCAATTCCCTTAAATGCTAATGACAGTCGCCACTTGCAAGTTTCTTAATTAGGTGATGATGACGTTGATGGCTGATTTAGTACATTTTTGAAAAAATTTCGTAATTTTCCAATTTTATGTCGTAGATTTTTCAAAAAAAAAAAATTCCATTTTCAAAACACAAGCACACGCATTAACGTATCGGATGCATAATATGATTGTCTTGTGACTTTAAAGAAACAAAGAACAATACATTAAAATACGTAAGAATTACAGTGTACATAAACAAAATTCACGTACAAAGAGGTACTCTAGGTGTTAAACATACATATATGTATAATATATGAATATTCTAAAATTGATTATTAATTTAAAAAGTTATTAAAAAACAAGGATTCGATAGAAAATGCACACATTTTCAAAAAAAAAAGACAAACCATGTTATTTAGACAGACATAAATGGCAATCACCTCACATGATACATCTATGAAAAAAATTTCAGTGAAAAAAAAAATTCAGTCACCCAGGCGCTTGTGTTAATTTCCAAAATCCATATTTTCTATTCTTTTAGTTATTTTTCTTTAATTCCCTTAAAAGGTTTAATTGCCGACTTACTTAACACTTAGACGTGGCCTAACGGACCATCAGCGATCTCGACTCCTTGCAGCCTTCAATTCCTAATTACAATTACCTTCGGGTGTTGTCGACGTCATTGGCTTCCGCGGGGATTTCACCACTAAAACGCATAAAAAAAAATTTCGTAGAGTAACGTCATTCCTGCTAACAACACCAATGGCGGCCACGATAAGTATCGCGTCACCTCGTGGAATTCCGAACAAATAAAATGAATATGGCGATAGTGAAAAATAATTTGAAAAAAAATTAGGTCAAATAAACAATGATAGGAACAGTTAACAGGGTCAGACACAAAAAATTACGTTAATAAAATACGTCATAATGTGATTCGGGTATAGTCAAAGGTATTCGTGGATGTTCGTGAATGAAATATACAAGGATAAAATACGTGAAGAACGTTAAGAAAAATTTTGTAAATTAATTTTAATCGGTATAAACAATTTACGTGACGTCATTAAACACATAAAACGAAGTAAGAAAGCAAGGGTTGCTAAAAAGTCGAAAATTATGATTGTCTCTAATTGATTATGTTGATGACTTGAAGATATACGTACCACTCGATCGATCCGAGACGCGTGGGAAATAAAGGCGGATATCGATGAATAAGTAATATATTTTGAAAATGTTATTTGATCACGTTTTTATGATTCTTTAATACTTATTATTATTTTTAATCCCGTTCCCCTAAATTCCTCATCTTTTCCGCGTTTCTCATTATCTCTCTTTCTTTCCCTTCTTACTCTCGACGATAAACATCGCAGAATGAAAATTCGCGAAAGAATTCAAAATTATCGTAATTCAATTGAATTTCCCTCTCTTATTTCTCGTTTCCTTCTTATCGCTCGTTTCCTTATCCTTTTTATTTATTTAATCAAAATCAAAACGAATAAACGTCCAACGGAAATACATGGACCTTAAGGCTGGAGATGGATCTCAGCGTAATAAGGTATCACCCGCTATATTGTACCCAATAGAGGAAAACCCGGGAAAATTCAAACGGCAAATTATTTGACAATTGACAAAACGTCATACTGAATGTTCCCTCGTTATCTTAATTACGTTACCATTATTTTTCTTTGAATTTTTACAAAATTTCTTTAAGGACCCCTTTAAACGCTAAAACCCAACCCCATTCGGAACATTGAGCAGCTCGCTCAAGTGCACCTTTAGGTATAACTGTATAAACGTTTATAGAACGAACGAGGATAGCGTTAACGTATGCATCAGAGTGAGTAGCAAATGTGATAATTAAATGTTTATTTTTTCTTTTTTATTATTATGAACGAAATTACCAGTACGCTTACGGATAATGACGTCTTACGTATATTTTTCATTTTTTCCCCCTACTTTTTCCTTTTCTTTTTTTTTACTTGTGAACTTAAGTGATAGTTAATTGATAAAAGCGCCGCTGTGTACAGTGATAGGTGCTGGTGTGTATCTGTGACCAAAAAGCCAAACGGAACAAGGAATATTTGTTTTTCTCTTAATTAACGCTTTTTTCTTTTATTCTGTCGACACGAATTTTCATTTCTTCGTAAACGCCTGGCACTCTCTCTTCCTCTCTCCATTATTTTCCAAGATTTTAAAAAATTCGCTGAACGCTCATTACACGGCCCTGAATTTTTGCATATAATTATACGTGACTCTACTATTGGCCTGAATACGTGCAATCTAAAAACTCACATTAATTTCGTGCAATTCCGATGATAACCAATTATGATATTAAAAATAAAACGAGAGGCGTTGACATATCGAGATAATAAAAAAACGACGCAAAATTCAAATTTCATACGTCCATCTACGAATGATCAATCAATAAAATAATAATAACAGTATAGTACATCTTCGATGTCGTATACGCTTTTAGATTGCACTGTACTATAAGAATAAACATTTTAAATAGTCATTTATTCGATAACAACGATGCCGATAATAATAACTTTTTTCCCTATACTCTCTTTGCAATAACATGTCATCTATATATATGCTGCTACTATCGTAGGCCAATAAATACCAACTGATAGAGATTCAAGCAAACTTAACGCTAAAATTCGTTATCTTGTCGCTTTATCAATCTCACTAATAAGCTGCGTGTCCGTCCGACTTATGGAAGTCTTGTAAAATTGTTTAAGTATTATAATTAAAAAAAATTTTTCATTGGTAAAAAAATTACGTGACCCATTTTTCACTTTTTTTTTTAAAAATGCCAATTTGATTTTCTTACAATTTTTGTTTCAGTACCCTCAGTCAATTTAAGGCGGACACGCAGCGCTCGTTCGTTCGCGATTTCGTTTCTGGCATACGCGCATGCGTCGATCATTCGTGGTGGGGAGTTTGATGATTCTCACGTGACTCGTCGAAAGGTGGTTGAGATCTGTCTCACTTACCGTATCCTTCGCCCTGAAGAAAAAGTCGGAAGGCTTCACTGACTTTGCCAGGTTGTTCCTCCAGTACCATACCGCAATCTGAGATCTAAATTTTGAGTTGAAAAATTAATGAAAAATAAATTGATTTTGAAATTATTTTTTTTAGATCTGGTTTGACTTACCTTCATCCAGGAGCTGTTAGTCGGGTCCAATCGTCCGTTTAACGTGACGGTGTCTTCGACGTGGGGACTCAGGGCCCCTGTAATGTTCATCACTGGGACTCCTAGGGTAAGGCCCTCCTTCTTACGGGTCGGGTCCAATTCCCTGCTGATGTTCAGATCCGTGCGACGTACGTAGCTGTCGATGAAGAGCGCCAGATTCGTGGGATTAACACGGCGTTCGAAATAATTCTTATAGACTTGGACAAGGTCGTGATTCCTCTCTTCGGTACCCTGCAAATTAATTAGGTTAATTAAAGCGTGTAAACAAATTTTCTTTACGTTATGATAAGAACAAATAATTCGTACTGACTGTTGTTTTACATGATTAAGTCATGATAAATGTTTTTTCTAGGAGCTAAAGAAATTTTATGGTCTTCAGACAAATTTAGATCATTTTCTTTCAACTCGCGAAATTTCTCAAGTTCGTAAAGTAAGATGAGAAAAGAAAAGGAAACAAACAAAAATTGCTCATCTTGGAATAGAAACGCGAGTATCGAAGTTGTTCAGGATAATCTCTGGGTTCTTCGAGAAGTAAATGAGAAAAGTTGAGAAATCGTTTCCCATTACGCTTCATTTTTTTTTCCTTCCTTTTTGTTCGGGTTTTTACCCTAACTCCCCTTTCGAAAGTTCCCCTCATTCGCTAATCTCGTTAGGCGATATGCGTTAGGGACCAGAAACCTCCGCCATTACTGCGACAGAAACGTACAGTATTTATGGTAACTACCCAACTCGATTTTCCGGTCCAGATGAGATACTTGATGACACCCGCAGCAATGTATAGACTTCCTGGTTTGGGAATGATGGTTAAAAATGCGGAAAGTTTGAAATTTTCAAATTTAACATGCTCCAGTTTTGATAGAATTTATCAAATGATTTTTTTTTCTTATACTTTTAAAATTATTTGGAAGCAGCAATATTTATTATAAATATATATAAATATGTATGTATATTTACGTACTCTTCCAAAATGATGCCACATCAAATAGTCCAATACACCCTGGGTCATTCCTTGAGACCTCAGATGACGGACATTTAATTTTTGATAACCCCATTCGATCCAACCAGCCTGCGTGGAGACGCAATTGATCAGGCACAGCGCATTAATTTTTTCCGGATGCGCCAAAGAGAATCGCGCAAGGATGTTAGCACCTGCGCCGACGCCAAATCCGATAACCGAATTCAGACCAAAGTGACCCAGGACGAAGAGCAGCTGTTCTGCCAATTCCTCCATGGACGGATAAACGTAGCTGAAAAATAAGGCGAAACGTTTTACAAAAATAATTCAATCGATTAAAATTATTTACGCTCAATTTAACTGCAACGCTTCGAGTTATTACTTTCTTTTTTTTTATTATCAAATTATCGGAATTTTTTATGGCTCGTCCGCAGCTACGTTTCCACTGAAACTGAACGGAAAAGTCACCGTATCAAATTTTACGAAAAAAAATTCCGATTATCTTGTAACGGCAAATTTTTGAAAAATTCAAATTTTCAAAATTTCTTAATATATTCTTTCCATTCTATAATAAAGTATCGAAGAAAATAATTGGTAAACAACAGTTTACCAGATTTCTCTTCGAATAAGTCATTTTTTGGATTTTTGCAGTCATACGATGTTATTATTACTATTAGTATACAAATATATTTATATTACAAATATATTGAAACACGCGAGCCATTACAGTTTCACGGCTGCTACCTTCGCATGCAACTCTGCAATGCAGTTCGCAACGTAATTCTACAGGGTGTTTCAAAAAAAAAAAACCATTCGCGATATTACATAACTGTTAAAAATTTACATCCAATAACAATTCGCATCCTCCATCAATTCAGTCTACACTGTTTCTCATAAAATCCTATTAGAAGTACAAATTTTACGATCCAGCCTTACCTAACTAATGTAACACCCTGAACACCCTAGAACCTTCTAGAAGCCAGGGTGAGTTAAGTAATGAGGGGCTACACGCAATTCTTCATTCATTAAAAAATGTTATGGTCCTATACCTATATACCTGCTGCAACGTACTTGATGAAAAATTATTATGGTTATTATTACCCCTCAGTCTCAGTTAGGTATATGAACAAAGGTGCGCGCGCAACTGTAAGCCAAACTAAAGTGAGTCCGAGGTCAACTTAATCTGGTGACGTCAATGGGTCGTCATGTAATCATCTAATGTGGCTAATGAAAAATCGCGATTAGGCAAGAGACAGGCATATAGCTGCTTGACTACGTGAATATAATTTTTGAAAATTCACTAATGAAAACAAAAGTGTACTAACGACTGACTTAATTTTCTAAATTTTGAAAAGCGCGATAATCTGTGCTTATTAATAAAACGTATCCTTTATAAATTATACTTTGAATATAGTCATGAGGCTCGACGTATACGTCACGTGACTCCTCAAGTTTCTAATGACGTCATTAAATTGCGTTAATTAAATACGTGCTACCATATATTGGTACAGGGACGATGACAGCCCCATTTGAAAAGGGTCCATGAATATATATTTAAAGAGCAACCGTGCTTTATGCGTGACTTTAAGAGCACTGCTGTACGGCGTCGCGACGCCTCTGAGACGTCACTCTAATTAGTAAGCTCGTTAATGGGGTTAAAACGATATTCGAGACGAGAATGTCGAGAAAATTTTCGTAATCTTTTCTGTTCGAAATATAATTTAAGTTATGAAATTAATTTTCAAAAAATTGTATTATACTTATATATATTTAATATACTCACTCCTCTGGGAGCGTCGGGGCGCCTTCCTCCTGACCCGGTGCGTTTACGTGATACACGCAAAAGTTTTCGAGTAACACGCGCATGTCGATGTAATTGAAGAACGCCTGGAAGCTCGAGATATCTTGAAGAGAAAAAAAAAGAAGAAAAAAATGACGAATAAGATAATAATAACAAGAATAAATAAAAAATATAGTATTTTTATGGTTGAAATTAATTATGCATTATATTTGATTAATTCATTAAGTGTTGTCCGATTAAAATCAAAATGGAAGTTAATTGGTGATTTGATGATTTTGATTGGTCGATAGAAATATGATATTGATTAATGATTGTTTTGATTTTGTTTATTTAAACCACTTGCTATTGAATTTATAAGAAAAAATTGACAGACGTGCCAATTTACTTGTAAATTTTTGAAAAATAATAATTTGACAAATAATAATAACTTATGCCTAAACATCGATTGATCAATACTCTAATTGTTGAATTTCAATAAATTATTTTTATGGTCATTAAGGTATACTCACAGTTAAGGCCTAAGTCGTGATAAGTGAGGATGGCAGGTTTAGCTCGATTACCCTGAACTGCTACAAGCAAACTACCCTTATCAGTTTCAACCCTTTCCTCGCGTACAGAGCCGTCGTCCCTCGTGAGATATCGTAATGCCGGAAACTGCAGTTGAATATTTTTCAACTCTATATCGTCCATGCTGTCTGACGGCATCGTGCTGTGAAAAAGAATAATAAGAAATGAAAAAAAAAAAATAATCATAATTTTTGGTTTTTAATTTAATCAAGGGTCCTCGCTGCTGCGGGTTATTCTGTTGCAACCCTGTAGCAGAAAGATCGGATATATATTTTTGAAAAAAATTCCGAATGCACAGCTGCAAATTTTTTAATTGGCGGAGTTTGGACTTTTTTAACGATGCACTGCTTTGTTTTCAATTGCATTATTTCACGGGCTTGAACAGATGTTGTTTGCTGAAATTTTCGAAATTTAGTTATCACGAACTTTTTTTTTCACTATTTTCGAATTTCAAGTCAACAAAGTTCAACACGTTTTATCATTCCACTGCTTTTACGGTGATTGTTCCGTGAACGCGATTTTTTTTCACGTTTGTCCATTTCTAGTTGAGAAAACAGGGAAATACGCAAAAAAAAACAGAAAAGACCTACGTGCACCCGGTCTTTGTCAACCACTCGACATACTCCGTCATTGTTCTAGTTTTGCAGAGAGTTTGCGAAAACTGTGAAATATTCAACTGAGCAAACACGAGCCCGAGGGATTTTTCTGTTGGAAATTTACGTACAGCGAATCCATGGCAACGAATAATCGATCTTCTTTTTTACCTTAAAGTTACCATTTTTTATTTTCAATATTCCCAGTCAACTCGGATACGGGAAAAAGTGAGAGAATTTAAAAATAAAAAATTTTCCCATCCAAACCATTATCATTGACGACCAAAGTAAAAATTTCGAATTAGAAACATTCCTCAAAAATTCTTTCGCCAGCAATTAATATTGTAAACGATACCCCCTACTCGCGAATCAATTGGCTTTTAACGTCTGATAGGAGCACGTGATCCATCCTGCCCTAAATATTTGAAGAAAATTGACAGAAGCCTACGATATTTCAGAATTTCAAAGTACACAAATAGGGTTAAAAAGTACAAAGTAGAGTCGGGATTTGATTTAAATAAATTGTACAACTTCAAACATACTCCTAGCCCATTTCGCCAGTTGGTTCAGAATGGTTGGGCTTTTTATGGTATTGATCTAAAGACCACGCCCAGCTGTGCTGGGTAAGGTAAGGTAAGGTAGGTAAGGTAACGCTAAAGGGTGAGTTCTGAAGGTGGCGGGGGTCTACTAGGTGCTCGGAATTCATATAGCGAGCACCACGTGTTACATGGTTGATGAACTTCCGGAAAGGCAGTAAAGACTCTCCTTTATTATACCATGTCAAATTTAACCACCCTATACATAGATCAGTCATACATATTTAATCACATTTACATATCATACGAATAAACATATATATAAATCTCAAAATTACATATGCTCACTATATATATATTCAACAATGTCAAAAATTCACCGAGATTCCAAAAACCGTTCATCCCTAAAAACTCGACCCTTAAATCAAGCGCCAATTAATCAACCCCCTTACGAAATCTTTCAAAGATCCAGGTTAACTTCCGGTAAAAATGTCAAGTTTTCAGATAAAGTCACCTAACCTCAAAATGAAATGTCAGCCAAATACCAAGTCTCCCACTAAGCATAAATCTACAGAGCGTTTCATTTGTTCCATATAAATCGGCATCGGCTCCGCAATACAAAAAAAAAAAAAAAAAATCAACGCGTAATGCAGACGAAAAAAAAAGCTCGCGCATGCGCACGAGGATTCCTCGACTACGAAAGCTTCCTTCGAGAATTGCCACGTAGGTAAGATGCTTTTAATCGAATTGAAAAGAACGGCGATTTAAAAGTTTGCGCGTTTTTCATGTCTCGCTAAGCAGATCCGGTTTGGATCGGTTCTTGGCGGTGGGAACGAGCGTCGGCGGCGTCGCGACGTACTGCGAGGGCATCGATCGGCCCTCGTGACGCCACCGAAGCTCATGGTAGCTCTCTTTCTTTTCTTTTTACTTTTCTTTCTCCATTCCTTCAACGTCTCCAGGTCTTGTAGACCTAACTGGATGAGATCCTCCACGATAACTCAGTTACGTATCCAGTTGGTAGCAGATCAGGACGGATTGACCTTCTTCGTCTGCGCTTTAAGACCTGAGACAATTTTTTTTTTCAAAAGCTCTTCTTTTTCTTTTTATATAGAACAAAAATGCAGAATGTGCATTTCTTATTAGCGGTTCATGAAATTTTTTTACCAATTTTTTTTATCGGATCGTAAAGTGGAGTGAAATTTTTTTTAGCGATATATTTTTTTGACAGGTCCAAAAATTTGTGGGCAGTTGTATTGACAATTGAGTGGACTCGTTCGTGTCATCTAATGACAGCGACAGGACTTAATGATTTTAATTTATCAAATTTTTTTTTTTTTTTTCAATATTTCCCGTTTTTCCATTAAACTGACTTTCCACTTCGTACCGGAAATACTAAGTCGAAGCAAAGTGCAATTAAGAGGTAAGAGACTCACTTCCGGTACTACACTTCCGCTGTTTAGTAACTTGCTCTATGTTTTCAAGATTGTCTTGGACACGATGCCAGGTCTATTACTGTCAAGTCTTCGTGACGTTATACACGATGACAATTTTGTACCAATGACAGTCCATGGTACCAATGACTTCTGCAAATGGTACGAACCATCCAAGCTTCATTGAATTTCCAAGCACAATTCCAGCACGGCCAGTTGGCTCCCGGTATCTCCGACACGTCACTCAGCTGTTTCCGGTTTAGCTAAACTGCCTCCCGACATCCGGGAACCTACTGACGGAGTCGGAGCTGGGAAATGATTTCTTGGTCTTCTATAGGTGTTACGAGAAAAAGTGGGAAAGAATTCGAAGGTGCAAAATATTATTTAGGAGAATTTGCTATTTTCGTCGATGATAATTATTAGTAAAAAATTGATATTAGGAAATGAAAATTTTTATTAGATTTTTGTAATTCTCAACTATGTTTTTTGAAATTCTGTTCAATTAAACCAAAATCTCGTGACTGTATCTGTCTTTACCGGTATCTCGCTATGACGTCACGTATAATGGATTCGCTCAAATTGCGGAATTTGCAGTTTTTAGATTTCCCGAAACAAAGGAACGGTTTAATTCAGTTTCCATTAAAATCCCTGCGAATTTCAAAGCGTTCGGAAGGTTTTAGTACTCGAATAATATAATGGCCGCTTTTCGCGAACACTTTTTGCATATTTTATAGTATATGCGAAACGTTTTGCGATATTATAAAACCCTGCTATACGTATATAGGTAGTAATATAATAAGCACAAATAAAAAGATTGATTTCAAAAAGTGTACTGGGAAAGCAAAAATTGAAAGAAAATAATTTTTTATCCCTTCTCTTTTTACCTTCAAAAAAAAATAAAAACGGAGGCTGACCAGGTGCTGGTCGCATTGCGGTATCATAAGTCTCAAGCAACAACTGTCAGACGACTCAGAGAACACCCGATATGAGGATATAGGATATATACCCAGTGTCATTTTTTTTCTTTATCGATCGAATAACCCGTTGCGATAAGTTTACTATTTGGCCGCATGCTGACGTCCAGGTCGATTCGCGGTAAAGCAGTAATTTTTCTTACATATAAAACCCAACACCTATTAATAAATCTCTCGACCCAACCCTAGTATACACATATACGGCGTACAAAAAAAAAAGACAAAATTTCAAAAAAAAAAAAAAATTCAAATTTTTTTCAAACTGTAAAAAGTGCCAAACATTGTTAATTACCACACAATTTCTAAAAGAAATTTCGTATTAATTATACATAATTAACTAGAATCACGGTCGCCTAATTATTTGGTATTCATGCATCATACAATGCAGGCAATTCACTTTTTTTTTTTTTTCAGTAGCACGTGCTACTTTTGGATTTTTTTTTTTCGTTACCTTTTCACACGACGCCCGATCGACGTCATTCGTCCTTACTGACATTTTCGGCGGCCAACTGGTTCCTTCGTCAAATTAATTAATTTCGAATTAATAGATTTAAAAAAATTACAAAGCGATTACGCGTTTACCTACCCCTAGCAAAAATTTCATTATGAAAATCAAGGGCCCATCGAACTTTTAACCAGGACTGTACCCGATCCGGTAGTACCATAAACTGGCCCTGAGACTTGTGGGAGACAATTTGTACTAGGGTAACTTACTTTACTTACACCCTATAGGCGTATTTAGCTTAATGCGTCTCTATGCATTTCTAGCAATAAGCAAATTAAGGGACGAATCATTTTCGAAAAATATAACGATGGGTTTGGTCGTTCTTGTTGCTTGACAATGGCGCACAGTGTGTTTCTCTTCGCTCTAATGATCTCTAATTACACATTATTCTGGCGTTAATTACCAGTGGTTTACCGACAGGCCACCGAGGGATGCCATTTTGTGGAGTAACGTGCACGAGGAAATACAAGAACAATGACTGATCGTAACAATGAAAAGTGTCCAGTACAACAATTTGTTCTACAAACAAAATTTGTTCGATACAATAAATATTGAGAAAGTTTTTATGATAATTAATTTTTGTGATTCTCCAAAATTTCCAACTATTTTTTTTTCTTATCAATATTCAAATTTTTTGGCTACAGATTTGGGTCTTCAAATTGTTATTTTTGTTAAGGAATGAAATAACACTGTTGTAGATATTACGACTTATCAGCCACGTGCGCGTGCTGCTTGACGGATGCAATTATTTTATTCCGGAAGTAGCAAGTAGCATTGAGTTCACTGTGTCAGAAAATTCACGGAGGCACGTGAAATTTCATTGGCAATTACTGAATATTCCCAAGGTTTTACGATTTCGAGTTTTAATTGGACATTTTTTTTTGTGTAAAAACAAAAATTTACACCGAATTGTATGAATTGATGGAAAGAAAAAAACCGGGAACTGTACGGTCGATAAATCATTTTTTTTTTTTTTTATATACTGAAGTAATTTCCAATTGTTGAGAAGACATTGCGAAATTAGGTCACCATTTTTTTACGGTCCTTCCCGAGCCAATCAAATTTAATGGTAGCGTAGCCGATATTGCTTTACGTGAGTCTTATGATTTTTTTCCACTCATATATTTTTTTTAACCTTATTTTCCCTTTTTCTCGAGTTTCTCGAGTGGGACAAACTGGTTCTGCAAGACTGAATTGTTTTTTTTTTATTTGTATCTCCGAGAGAGTGCTATCGCGATGCAGTTCTAATGATGCATCAGATATTGCATTGGATGACGTTAGTGAGTTTCAATGATTTTGAGAAATGACATGATTTTTGATATTTGCATATTTGTATTAATAACAAGCATATGTAATTAGCATTCGCTCTATTAGCATCGATCTAATGTTAGCGTACATCTAATACTAGAAAGATAAATAAAATAAACAAAAGAAAAATTAACTAATTCGGTCACAAGTAGGATTTTTTTGTTTTTCAAAAAATTAACAAAAAATTGCTTCCTCGTGACAGGACTTACCCCAGAAGAGCAGATTCCTCGGCGGTAGCTGCGGTCGGCATCTTGTTTCTGTCCCTAAAACAAAATGGCGGCAAAGTAATCACACAAACCAGCCCTAGAGGCCCAACTACCCGCCATCATACCAATCGGCAAGCGTCCTTGTCCAAGTGCCAAAAGAAATATCAAAATTGGTAAGTAAACAAAAATTTGTTTAAACCGTTACAAAAAAAGAAGCGGAACAAAAAATACTGAATAACGATCAAACTTTGTCAATTGCTATTTGCACTGATTAATAAATTTTCAATTTTCAAAAAATCATTCGATCCAAAAATTTCTTATGACTTCGACGCTTTCACTTGGTTACGAATTTTATTATTATTTTGACACGCATACCCATTACGCAACGAAAGTGTTAAGCATCGTAAGCAATAGATACAAAGACAAGCAATGACATAACCGTCAGGAGGTGTCAAAGAAACAGTACAGCGAGCATACTTAAAATTTTAACATGCGTCTTACCTTACGGCCGCCACCTAGACGACCTGACAGATACTGTCCACAGAACGATTCAATGTTGGTACCTATGATTCATGCAGTTTAACATTACAAAGATACCAGGATCCAAAAAAAATTTCCTACGAGACAAAAAAATGTTTTCCCCCACCAATAACCCAAGAATTCAAAATTATTTACAGATCAAAGAAAGAAAGCGCCAATTATTTTCAGAATCAGAAATGAGCATGATTGCTGTAATAATTAAGTAGAATTAGTAAAAGAAAAAAGAAAAATGATCGCCGATACCAAAATAGCATTATGATTATTTCCCTAGGTTACCACAAAAAATGATTTTTAATGATCCATCAGGTCGAAATCGATAAAAATTTTATTCCTATTTTTTAGTCACGTTTTTTTTTCTGTTTTCTTCCTTAAACCCCTTATCGACGCCTACCTGGAGACTATCGAGACGCACTCCCTTCTGTCCTCGATGAGCGGGTCCTTCTTTCTCAACTCCACCTTGGGCGTCGCGAAACTGAACGCCTTCTTGACGCTCTCGAAGACGCTCTGTCCGGTACTGTGGGTCTGGTCGACGACGGTAGTACTTTTGTAGACGTCTTCGCCCAGGTCACCTAAGGACCTGTACGAAGCGCCAATACCTGCCGGCATGGCGTCACCCTGGTTAGACTAGGTCCCACGATGATGATCCAGGATAACCCCCTTTGTGGATGATCAGAGCAGATGGGACGACCTGGTCTGCTCCTCGTGCTGATCTGTACGTGGGTGGTGCTCGATGACGGGGTGTGGTGCTGGGTGGCGTGGGGGTGCCCAAAGCCAATATGCCAATTCGTACGTCAACAAGGCAAACAAACGGGGAAAGAAAAAAAAAACAAAATCAAACTGCGACGTACTCGGGGAGTGTGACTTCCTGGTGAACGTTGGCAAGGCTTTTTTTTTTGAATTTCTTTTTTATTTTCCTCCTAGTACCCATTTGACCACTCGGGGGAATAACGGCCGAGGGCCATTATCATTTAGGCGGAAGTGTACCCTATACTGCGAAAATAGTAGTATCACCCTGGGATCAACCTGTTACTTTTTTACTATGAGCCAATTATCTTGTTTTCTCAATCTACCGGCAGGGCTGTACCGGAAGCTACGTCATGGCGTCGTGCCAGGAATGAAAAGTGGATAAGATGATTTTAGGAAAAAGAATATTTGTTTATTCCAAAACTTTTTCTTAGCCTCTCCTGAATCAACGGGAGTCTCTAGAGTCGAGAGAAATTTTTCTACTGACTGTATATATCCGTATTCCTGTGATTTTATTTAGAACTTGTTACGGGACTTTTTTCATGGATTTTCTTTTTTTTTTTTATTTTTTTTAATTCATTTTACAATGCTTCCATAGACCCCGACAAAGATACTCGTACTGATCTTGCTCTGTATCGATTTTATGAATCGCTGATCTTATATACGCATATATGTATATTTATGTTATATAATATATATAGATATATTATATATATGTATATCGAGCCTTGCCAATGCACCAAGTGCATTCTCACCGAGTGTCTCACTATGCTGTAATACCTAGATGCATATGAAATCGAGATAATTACGATGCATGCACAATTGGCGAACTTCGTTACATTGAGAGTACAGTAGAAAACATGCGTGGCGACATGCCAATTGCAAAATTGTAATTAGACGCATTTCCCGCGAAAATGACATTTTTTTTTCCGATAATTTAATCATCGTTGTTAATGATGATAATTTTTTTAAAGTAATTAAGAACGATAACTGTTTATTTAATAAATATATTCATTTGGTATATAATTAATATGTCAATTTTATAATTTTTGGGTATATTTACGTTATGAGGCTTTGTGGGTATCAGACACCTATGCACAACAGACACAGAACACGTAGGACATGCAAAAAAAAAATGAAGTGGGACTGATAAGAATTACGATATTCCCGTGTAATTGAGTCAGTTTCGTGTTATTACCGATTTTAAAAAGGGGATAAAATTTGGAAAATACTATTTTCATTTCAAGAATGTAAAATAGCGAGAAAAATCGTTTCGTCGATCGATCGATCGACGAGGATATTGGATTTCCGTTAGAGTGTAAGATTTCAAAGGGGTTTCAAATTTCAGGGCCGTATTTTAAAGGTGACACTGTATAAAAATTTAACGTGACGTAGCAAAGCAAAGTTATCCAACGCGTAATAAGACAAAGGCATTGCGCTTGCGAGTAGTCGCGTCATAGAAACGAAAAGAATCACCGAACGTCCACGTCGCGTCAATTAGTAAAATTTAGGTAAAACGTAAAAAGTAAAAAAAAAATTACCAACGAACACTACAGAAAATGGTCAATTTTCCCATAAAATCCAAGAGGTCAAAGTTCGTCTAATAAAAATCACCCTATGAAATGTCAGCGACAATTCCAACCTGCTCCGAGACAATGTATTGATTTTTCGTGGAAACGGGAATTGAGGTTAACGCGAGTCCATCGCGTGGAAGAACAGGGACCGTACCTGTATCATTGTGAACGGAGCCCTTTAAGATGGCTTTAAGAAAAAAAAAACCGTCAAAGAATATCAAAAATGAAAAAGAAAATATAAATAAAAATGTCATCACACGCATCCCAAGTGATGCTTTAAAAATTAAACGACCATCGAGTGTCACGTTATTGGCTCGTGAATAGTCCGGGTCGTAGTAACCATCGATTTGTTGATTTTTTTTTTGGAAATTGGGGGAGTGGAAATAAGTTAAAAATAAAAAAATTCAAAGGAAATGGTCGAACAAGACAACAACGATATATGATCGCGAAACGGTTTTTCTCTTACCTTGGTGCTGGCTTGCGAGCTTTTACCGGGGATCTTTGGACTGCCGACGAGCCGAATAACAGTTGCAGCCTAACGGAACTTGCGTCACGGATACGATCGAATAAATCCCCTGCGAATTGTTCAAGCGAAGAGAGCACTCGACGTACTGGCTTTGCAATAAGTCCGTGGGCACTGCTTAACACTATTGGTCGTCCTGAGTAACTCGTCGTGGTCAATGAGTCTGCGCGTAGCCACTTGCGCAGTTGTTCGAAATAGCTGCTGGGTGACAGAGTGCTGCCATCTGGCGTTAGTACGGAGAAGCTTTGCCTCATCAAAACTTACCGTATCAACGGGGTTGCGTAAGTGTATGGTAAAGATAAGTTGGCCTTAGCGAGGTCCGATGGTGCATTATTGAGAATGGGTAACTTATCGATTTTTGATAAGATTTCATCTTCTTTTATGTTTCTCGAAACTTCGAGATTCGTACCGCTACGAATAAATGGAGACACTGCTGTGCTGGATTTTGTAATTTTTCGACGAAATTTTTTAATTCTGCACAGCATCATTCTTGATTGTCTGAAACTTTTTGATAATTCATTACATTTAATGTTAAATGGAAATTTTATATAAAATTATAATCGTCTGTTAATTCGATAAAATGTATTTTAATTATTTTAAATAATTAACGTAAAGATTAACAATTGCAAATTCTGTTATAAACAAGCGTGAATAAAGCAATGATGAAAAGCATGAAAAATTAATATAAATAATATTATATACATGAAAAATATAATGTACATGAATGTTTCTGATGTATGATAATTTCATCGGTAAAAGGAAAAATGTAATTCGATTTAAATAATGGTTTAAAATTCGTCTCAGTAATAATAAAAATCGATATAATCCATAAAGTTAATAGCTATCCATACCTATTTCTGTATAAGGTACGGAATATCTAATATCGTTACTACCGCGAATAGAAACTTAAAATAATACAGGTCGATCGTTTTTTTTACAAGAATACTTTCTTTTTAGCTGTATCTAAGTAAAGGAAAGCACCCAAAATAATCCCGTAGAGATTACCAATGTGAAGGTACCTTTATTTATGTTCGCTTAAAAGGATTTTAATACACGTCGAGCGGAGTCGGGTATAATAATTCAAAAGGACGTCTGCCATATTTTTTACAGTTACCCGACCGCTTAGCATAACCGTATATTTATAGCTGTTATGCTAGGAACCCGCATACAGAATTAATACCATATATATATATATATACAAATTAAACCAAGCAAAATTGCATAACAAAATTATTATAAATAATTAGTAAAATCACTTCCGGAGAAAAAAATGTTTGACATTACAAGTGGTTATTCTAAGGTCACCCGTTATATGATCCAGGTTCATCGTACCTGATATACCATCATATATAGAAGAGGTAGGAAAAAAAAAAGTAAGAGCAAGAAGTGCATTTCTGGAGTCTGGAGTCTGGAACCTCACTCCTAGACCAGAAACCCATTCCCTAATCTGACCAATACCAACCTTAAATCACGTAATAGAGTCATTCGTTTTCTATACCCTGTCGTTCTTTTAGTTTATCGACAAAACCATTTTGATTTGTCACAAAGTGCAGCCAACTTTATTTAGCTTGTAAGTTGATAGCAATACCAGTCCTTGAATTATTGTGGGGGCAATTAAAATTTCAAAATTTCAATACCTTCGAATTGCCGTAATCCAAAAAGCATACATTAGTTACACCAAAACAATTCTAATACACCATATATAAATTTTCATGTTATCTCATATCTTGGATCAAGAAAAAAAAATAAAATAAACAACGCGATCACACTTCCCTGACCGTCGTAAAAGCACATTACATACACGACACATATGTGTACCGGCGCGAAACTGTATCGTAACAATTTTTTTTCTTTGTTTTTAGAATCTACAGCATGATATATTTCCAAGCATATTCATCATAAAAATGTGTATATATGGTACCGTTATGTCTGAAATATACTGTTACGAGGGCACGTGGCCCTTTTTTACCCACCTTCGTCCCTGATCCTATAGGTAGACGCTACCTAAGATTCCAAGAAATATGCGCAAGGCCCAGTACCGTATGAAGGAAGTCTCGTTACCCGGTGCTCGTACATATATACTGCTTCTTTTTTTTTATCACTTATAACGTGACATGGGAGATATGTTTTTTATGAAAAAACTCGGTTATCCGCAAAACCCCTCCCCTTCCCTCCCGCCACTGTCCTCATGGCGGAATATAAAAACTTGTCACGGGACGGTATTTAGTCTGTCAGCGACCGTGACAGATCACGTCGGCTGTAAGGATGTCGGCTTATAGCAAGCCTTAGATCCACTTCCGCCTTGAAAGTTGAGGGATGCATATTATAAAATCTACCCTCAACCGTCTAGGGGTGAACCTTCAAAGCTTTATGGAAACCTTCAATGTCATGGCTATATTCATATATATACAGAGTATAGGATTTGTATAGCATAAAATACTATATTGTAGAATAAGGTAAAATAATTATTTGTATACGAAAAGTACTGAAGTGAATTTATTTAAAAAAAAATGGGATATTATATCGATAAAACGTAGGTATGCAATTTCTTTTGAAAACTTTATCGATCTTTTTCCATTTCGTATGAATTAAATTTTTTTTTAACTTTCACGATTTTTCACGTTTTATCGAGTGTATAATTTTTTCCCTGCGTAGTAACCTTTACGCTTTCACATGCAAATATCCTCGAGAGTTTTCTCCTTCCAAGAGAATATTTTAATTCAACGTATCTCGGGATTCCTCATGGTCGAGTCTTGCGACTCGAGTTGACTTGGCCGGTACTTTCGTCCAAGTACCACGAGTGCGAAGCTTGTTGCAACCGCGCTTGGCACAGGTAAAAAGTACTTGCGGAACCACTCAAAATGGTAATACGAAAGTTCAAAGGGCGTCGGAGCTGTTTGTGCCGGGATGCTGATTCGAGTCTAGGCGTTCTCGTATCATCGAGACTTTCGAGATTCCTGACGTACACAGAGGTCAGGCTAGGTTACAAGTATGAAATAGCTAACAATTTGGAAATTTTGAAAACACCATTGTTGCCCACAAAAACTTCTGACTCGAAGTAAAATTTTGTAAGGACTTTTGACTGAATACAAATTTTTTTTTTTAATTTCTTAATAATGCGAATAGGACTGGGAGGAGGTAGGGTAATAAAATCAGCAGAGTAAGAGCAATTTGTGTTCAAAGAAACAGATCTTCATTAAATTGCTGAGGAGTGCGGGGCGGTAAAAAATGTTCAAAGATTTTGTCCTATGGGGATTTTTGATATAAAAGAATCTTTGATTTATCCTGAATAGGGTATAGGAACTGCCTTATACTCTATTACCGTCTATAGAGAGTCGATGGATCTGTGTTTTTTTTCTTTTTCTTTATTCGTACGGCTCTCTAACGACCCTGAATAAATAAATAAATAAGCGAGTCTAAAGGGAGGCACGAGCGCTCTTTGAGAGTCCTCCTTCGTCCTGGACCACTTGGTGAATTTTCCTTTCCTCCTATTTCACCCTCCTCTCTTCTGTAGGCCGTTCTCCTTTTCCTTTCTTCCTTCCCTTCGTCCTCTCCAGGGGACCGTGAACGAGATTTCGGTGAGTACCCCTTTCAAGAGTACAGATCCTTGCCGCGAGGACCCTCTCCAGATAGGCGACTAACGTATTTTTTCTCTTTCTTTCTTTTTTTCTTTTCTCTTTCTTTTTACCAGTATCAGAGTCCTGGAGCTCTCTTGGATTCGCCGGCTGATAAAAAATACAGGAACGAGTCACTGGGGCATGCTTCGATCCGGGAAAGAAAAGCTCGCACGAATTCGCACTATACTGGTAGCACAGAGAGGAGCAGCCGAAGTCTCTGTCTATCAAGAGACTTTTTCTCTCTTTCTAACAGCCTTCATACTGCCACTCGAATATCTTTTCTTTTTCTTTTGTCTTGATATTTTTTTTCTTTTTCCCCTTTATTGCACTTCGCCAGCGGCAACCGATGCAATGTGAAACTTCACGTAATCGCCATTCGTATCCTCGTCTGGGAAACCAAGATAAATATTACATCCCGGCAGACACGTACGAGACAGTGTGGTAAATTGTGTATTAATATTAAACTCGCGATGCCGCATAGCGTCGCGACGCCGTGGAGTCCTTGGATACACTTGCGTATATATGTATATATATAACAGAAGAAAGGAACGAAAGAAAAATAGGATAAAAGAAATTCTTTTTGGAAAATATCAGAAAAAAGTATGGAAAGATATGGTGTCAAAGAAGTAACGAAGAGTTTCTAAAGGAACGTCCACAATGGCGTTGCGTCTATTCAAGTGGAGGAATTGAAAGAGAAAAAAGAAGTGCTTCCGTATAATATCGAAGGAGCTCTTATATCAAGTCCCTATAATTCAGGGGTGTATCTCGATGTTAGATTCCAGGGGTGCAAACCCTTAGATAAGGGTGCACACACCTTGGCACAAAATTGAAAGTCCCACTGCGCCAGGGCTTTCCCGTAGAATGTATGAATCGGTAAACGCTATAGGGTTTTGGGGGGTTGTAATGTCCGTGGGGGGTCGAAGGGTGGCAGAAAATTCCGACTGGTATTTCCGTAAACTTTTCTCACGGTTGTACAACACCTAATATACCCTCTTCCATATATGTGTAGGAGGCGGCTCCTGCAATTTCTTCGCGAAACAAGAAGATACAAGGGTTTCCGTCGATAAAGTATTCAGTTGGACCCGGCTTAACGTACCTGTCGGTAAAACAGAGCGGCTGGTACAAGACACGAGCGTGTAGCTTCAGAATAACAGATCGTAATTCCAGAGCTGTTGGGTTTCTGACCGTCTGGTTGGTGTACAGCCCCGTGTAGAGGGGTCAGGGTCGAAGGGGCTGGTTGCTTTCTAATGGAGACAAATTTCACGCTCTGACGGTACTAGTACGTATCTATAATCATTCTGAGCTGTTAGCCCAGGTTTCTATATATATATAATTCCTGGTATGCTTGTCGTACAGAAAATTCAGCAGGTATAACCCTAACCTTAAAGCTCATCCAAGTCAACGGTTAAGTTTATCGCTCCTAAAAAACAGCCCTAAGGGAAGAATCTAAACGGGCTTTTATTATTGATTAGTCGAGAAATATGGGACGAAAGTGAAAGAGAAGTGCTGGATACTCGGAAGGGTGGTGGATGGGTACAGTAGGATTGATAAATTTTAAAAACGCGAAGAAGGGTTGAATTGTCGATTTTCTGGTATCCATAAGCAAACGGAAGCTTGTAATGGGGTGTGTATGTGTGTCTAACCTCAACTGATAAATTGCGAGCGTTTAAATCATGCGTTTTACCTATAAATTATTCATTCGAATGAGTTAAGCGATTCTAAGAGGCCAAACTAGGGTGATACCAAGCATAAAGTTGTCTACCCTGGTAGGTAAGGGTGTATCGTATAGTTGAGATAAGTTGGCACCACTACCAACCCCATCTGAACCGGAGTCACAAGTCCTGGGTATGTAGGAGGGACCTGGTGGAAATCCTTCTGGCAAACTTCGGAATTTGTACGCACAATTATGTAAATGCATTGAATTTTATACGCCCCACTTTATGTATATACGAAGCAGCCTGGATTCAACTTGCGACCCTTAACGGTACAGAGAGAGCTTCCACTGTGAGAAACTCACCCCTATTCGTACAATCTTGAAAAATTGAGAAGATACCTGAAAACGTGGACAATGCCCAAAATTGGTGTTACCAACCCCAAAATGTTTATTAGGTTATATTGCCCATCACGCGTTATCTTGCTAATCGGTACTTTTTCTTGAACTAGCACCGTCACAGCTTTTGACTAAAAGCGAGTAAAGCTCCAATATTTTAATTCGTGGCCTTAATTAACTCTCAAATAGCTTCTAATTTTGTAACAGATTTTATTTCGATTTTCCACTATTTCGGTTTTAGCTTTATTGGCGTTCGTGATACTCTTTGGTTGGACCTAATTGACCCCAAGTCTGACCTAATCATCTTACGTGACCTGAGGGGGCGTAAAGCGAAGCCATAAAAAATCCAACCCTTATCGTCGTTTGCACCATGGTCGAAAAGCGCGGGGGTAGTTTCGCGTTGCTGAAGTGACCGGTCAGTTTCAGAGTTGAGGAAGTGGGCGGAAGTTCGATGGCTGGGGTGAAAAGGGGAGTTGGGTCGGGGTAAGGTATCTTTAAAATACATGACCTGGAGTGCGAGTGGTTTCTACTCCTGGGGATACTTTCCTCGTGAAAGGGGTGGAGAGGGTAGGTCATGAAAAAATTAAAGAACTCAATAAATTCGTGTACCATTCGAGTGGGGATGGGTAACCACGTGAGTCAGTCAATTCCACTGAGGTCCAGGATGCTGTGTCGACGGGGTTGGCAAGAGAGGATGAACTCTTCAAAAGAATCAAAAGCTCTAGTGGTCCAACTTCATACGGTTCTAGGTTGCTCGACCAGCCACCCGATCGAGGCTCCAAGCCCCAACTGAATTTAAAGCTCTTCGAATTTTCGCCAGAAATAAATGGCTATATATCTCAACCTGAATTTCGGGGGTGAATTCTGTTGGTTAACTTTCCTCAGGCAGGGGTAGAGGGTGACTTTGGTATGAAACCACCCTAGAAACGTGTAGGATAAATTACCCAACCCCTTGCTCCCAGACGATGCTTCGATCAGATCTTGGGGTTAGCGTCGATCTGGTTGTTAAATGTTTACTCAGCCAAGGGGGTGTATCGATATCTCAAGAAATACGCAGCGGGAAATTGTCTTTCATCCCTTAAAATCATACGTGGTCCAGAGAAAGATGCTGGAGGTTTTCGAGGACACTTCGTGTAATGGGTAAAGATCAGCAGAACACTCATCTCCCCGTTAACTGGTCTTGTCCTTGGGGACGTCGTTCAAGAGTTACCAGGGTGGCTTTATATTAAGTCGTATGTATGTACAGTTGTATAGGAGTGGACGAAGAAAAGAAGAAAGAGAAAGGAAAAATAAGAAAGAGCTTCAATTTGCATCTAGGTTTATCTCTTTAACATTCTTGAGTACAAAAATTCTTTTTGGAACTACAAACTCTTTTTTCTCTCTCTTTCTCTTTATATTTTGACTTTTCTCTCTCTCTCTCTCTCTCTCTCTCTCTCTCTCTCTCCGTACGTTTCTTCTGCGTTTTATGACTGTGAATGGAATGCACGTGCACCGTGAACTTTTTATGCGCTTCGTCCACGCTCCAGGAACTTCATAAAAACCTCGTAGTGTACGCAAGGATCCTGGAAAACGAGTTTAGCTATTTTTTTTATTTTTTTTTTTTTCAGTATAAAATGTAGTTTGGGTAGTTTGTTAAATTCCGTCGAAATTTCTCCCGATGTTAATTTCCAATTTCGTTTTATGGGTACCAACCTTGAACCATCCCTTATGACAATTTTCGGAGTTTCAAGGACGAAGTTGCCGTCTTGGAACGTGACACTGGTACCGCAAAACAGGACGACGATCCCCGTGTCTGATTTCGTTTCCGGTTTCGTGATAGTCTGAGCGGAAGTCGTCGACATGGAAATACCGTCGTTGGGTAACGTATATTCTGATTCAACACTCCAGATTTTTGGTTTAGCACTGTTCACTCGCATTTTCAAAAATTATATTTTAAATAAATTATAATCTTGATCTCAAATTCTTTTATACGCACAAAAAATTACTTAAGCCTGATGCACAACTCGTAATACGGAAAAATACGAGATCCACCTGATCGCTTGTTATTCGCTCGATGACTGAACTGTTAATGACATTAACAATCAGTGGGAACGTCAATCCACAAATGCTGGGTTCTATTAAATCCAATATGGCGGCAACTAATGCAATTCGAATTATTCGCGTTACGGTGTGATGCACGCAAATGGGTATGTACTGTCCACAGGCACGCCTTAAAAGCTGGTTTTCAAAAGACTCGAATCGTTCCGCTAGGTCAACATGAGGATCGTCCCGATGATCATGAAAACTGCTATTAGTGGAATAATAATAAAAATTGACAGATAAATTATTTTTTATTACGATTACAATACGATTACTGTATGATAATTAAATGAGTTCATTAAGCTTCATCCCCATGACAGTAGATGCATTATTTATGGGTTTTGCATATGTTAGATAAAAAAATTTTCCTACTCACTAAACGAAAGATTGCGATAATTTTTTTTTCCAGCACTCAAAAATGTCTCGTCTGCTTGACGTTAACGCACATATGAACGGGACTTGTCTAGCGAAAATGGAAATGTCGAAACTACCCTTAACGAGAGTCTCGTTCTTGTGCCTCACTTACCGGCCCGCCGACGTCCCGGGTTCTCGAATTAATTGCGTTACGGAAGGAAGAAAAGAGCAGAGGAAGTAAAGGAAGAGAGAGGAGAGTAAAATTTAAAAAAAATAAAAAAAAAATAAAATAAAAAGATATAGGGGTGTAGATGGGTAAAGGAGGAATTGAACGTCGCCAGCATTTGCAGTGCTGAAAATTAAGCCCCGTCGGGGATTAGAGTTTGCGAATTTTTGTCGTTTTCAAGAAATGACCGAGAGGGACGATAGAGAAACGAGAGAAAAAGAGAAGGAAGAGAATAAAATAAAAGGCATAGAAAAAAAAGATAGAGACAATGGGTGGATAGTCAAGGGCATGACGTTTACGATGATACTGGTGGCGCGCGTAGTGGCAATAGCGAGAACTATCGTTATCTCGAAACGAGAAAAGATTTAAAATACTCGACGTCGACGTAGGCGTCGGCGTCGTGTGTTATCGTCGTGTTATATCTGCCCGAGGAAATTGCGAATTTCGACGCTTATGCAGGCCGTAAAAGCACGTGGGTTTTACTGCGCGAAAATATCTATTGAAATGCACTGTACGTAGTGAGAACACTGCCAGGCAGACTTTGAAAGAGAGTATAAAACGTCAGAGGCATAAAGTACGCAATGATGAATGTGCGGGGATGGGGCTGGGGCATGAGTAAGGGTTAGGGGATGCTGTGAATTTATTCTATTGTCTCTGTGTGCTTTACAAGCCAGGGCTGTATTACTTCGCGTGGGATCAAGAAAAATGGGTTCTTTAAAACCATTTTTTTTTCTGGTTACATTATCCCAGATATGATATAGATCCAGCTTAAAAAATATATACCAAGAAAATTGTTAAAGAAAATTATCAAGATTTTTTGAGATATTCAAAATTAATTTAAGCAACGATATTAGAAAATTTTTAAAATTTTTGAAACAAAGTCTTATGCTGATACCGAATATAGTAGCTCCAGCCCTGATTCTTCGTTCGCGTGTGTACGCACCTTAAGGGATAAGAAATAAACCTGCTATTCCTCGAGCAATACCGGTTATGGGTATTCTTACTATTCCATAAGCCTCCCAGCAGCTTATATTATTCGCACATGCAGAACTACAGCAAGAAATTTCTTCGGGCATAAAAAGAGTAAATAAAAAAAGTTTAATCCACACTCGCTGCATCTAAAACAAGAAGTTATGGATCTCAAATGATTTTAAACCGAGAGCATTTAATCCAGCCACCCTTCGGTAATCATAGACACGAATAGTTAAATATTACAGCAGAGCAGGCCAATGAGAAAATCCAAGATGGCCGCTTCGATCATAAATAATTAATAACTACCGGGCAAGTCCGAAACGCATGAAATTCTCTATAAATTACTCATTTATAGTGCATGAAGCATAACTTCACCCTGTAGAACATACATGTGAATTCGCATATCGATGCCATAGCTGAGTAGTTTCGGTTGCCGCTCTCTACACAGAGATGGCAGCACCATACGCGGCAGTTGCAGCAAACACGAAGGCCTGGCGACCATCATTGTTTTTTGTCAACTCGCGATACACGAACACCAAGTGAAACTTACTGTGTGAACCGGTGATATGTGCTGTGTGTGAAATTCATAAGTTCCCGAAGGACTCTGGATATGTGCCCGTAAGTTACCAAAGGATCCTGGAGGTACAAGAGGCATACAGGATTATGTTAGGCAGATACGTAAGTACGCATTTAATACTGTTACCTCGTCCTTTTCCTTTCTTTCTCTATACCTAACCTACGTTACGCTCTGCATACAGTCTTGCTCTTGTTACTCATCACGGTAGTACTATTGCTTTTGCTGTTGTTGCTTCAGCTAATATATCAGACAGCCTGAAACTCTAAGCAGCCGGAGTGGAAACTTTCGGCGGAGCAACAAGAACTATAAGCCAAGTTGAATTCTTGTTTTAGTATCAGCTGTGCCAAAGGTATTGAAGTTTTTGCTTTTTGAAAATTAATATTTTTCTTAGCTTTCTTGCCCTGGTCTCTTTCCTCTCTTTCTGCCGTGTAATGTTGCATTATTAATATGGCACACGTAGGCTCGATTTTTTTTGAGGGAAGTAAATTTAAAAAATTAAATATCCAAAAAATTTTCTTAATCTAGATTCATTCTTTTCCCTTTTTTCTCTTGCAGCTTCGTATCACTGTGATTTATGGAATCTCGCGTTTATATATTAAACGGGGAATCGGTGTCGGCGCCCCACGTGGTTACGATCAAAATATTGTTGGTTTAATGGATACTGTGTGTTAGCACGTACATGACCGGGTTTATGTTACATGCTTGGATCACGTATGGCGAGCACGTATGGCGAGTAGACAAGTTTTTAAAAGTATTCATATTTATGAACGAGATTGCTTCGAAACAGCTGGACACCTTGTATACTACGTATTCCACTTAGTAACAGTGTTCCAGCACGTGATACGTCATACAGAAAAAAAATATATAACATTAATTCACATTGTTATTATAACTGGATATAACTGCAGCCTTGTCGATGATTAAATTTATACGCTATTAATTCTGTATGTTTGAACAATAAAAACCGGCTGCGAATATTTTGAAATCAATATAATGAAATATGCCTTCGACAATTGTGACGTCATAAAATATAGATAACGGCAAATTTCAAAATAGTGCCTCACGAGATGTCATTATTTTCATAAAAATTCGTCGCTCAGTCAGTTGTATATTTGACAGCGTTATAACTTGATCTTAGTTACGTCACGATATCTTGATCCTAGACATACATATTCCACTCAGTGACGCTTTAGTCAGTCTAGTTCCTCTTCTAACCCCAGCCCCAACTGAGTTTCACTATTAATTAGACTGACTGAACTTCCCTTGTCTCCATCTACCGGTGAAACCGGAAGACTCCTAATTACCAGGAAAGTTACACCTCCCGAGTCCCAGATCCGATCCGTGCGACAGCCACGAGCCGTCAATTATTAATGCATTAAGGTTTGGCAGGGATGAAAAAAAAATGTTCAGCCAAATTTACATCCACATCCATAACGCTCTGTACTACCAGCATAATGCAATATTAATGATTCATCGACGTCCAATTTGTTTAGTATCAAAAACATGTTCCACCAATTTCAGTTTTACACTCGTAACGCACTGCGGTACCTAATCCAATGTAATATTTTTTTTACGCAGGCTATTCCACCAGATCCAATCGAGGATCCAGGTTACGTCCTATACCTAACCTCAATCTAAGAGTAAAGCCGGAAATGGAATTTATTTGAGCAGACCTGGAAGGATGTTTTACAACTGGTAGCCACTCCGTGGGATTTACGCGAATCAATGCGGAAGGTACCATAAATACAGTCCCTTTACGGACGCCGATAGATAGGAACAGGAAAGAGATGCCCCCAGGCACTGGCACTGGTCCACGTCATGCCCCATACCCGGAAACTGCACTCTTCTGCTTTTCTGGTAGTCTCGGCCGAACTGGTAGAGGCTTCTGGTAACATTTTCCTACCTTGTATATATGTATATGTATGTACATACTTGGTAGTTACCCCTGGTGGGGATCCTCTTTATGGCGCTTCTGCGATGGCCAAACTTTATAGGTCTTGGTCTAGTTCTTACTGGCTTAACTGTACGTAAACATAGGAGTTTACTTGAATATACCATAGCGAATGGATATCGATGGTTGCTCTGACGCAAGAGGGGGTGGAAGATCGAATTAAGTGCATCTATTGGGTTAAGGGTGAGAGGGAGAGAAAAAAATTGACTATACCCTTAGCGAAGTTGCTTCGCAACTTATCGACCTTCTCAGCAATTCTACGACCCTTCACTCCATCGTGATAATATCGAATTGCTGATCGGGGTGGTTGTGGGATACGGTATACGTTTCTTTAACCCTTCTTTGTGAGAATATACTGGTAGCATATGTGCGTAGTTTGAGGGTAGTTTTTTTTTGCGATAGTGGGAAATACGCGGGGGACGATAAAAAAAGGTTGATGCTTTCCGCCACGTCAGAGGGTGGGTGATGGTAAAAATTAGTGACTCTTCGAGGGATGAATTTCAAGATTGTGCGTTTTCTATAATGTTCCGAAGGGTCGAGGGTGATTTTTATTATTTACTGAAGTCATATCTTTCTCGTTGTCATAATCGTTTCGGATTCCCGAAATGTGTGCGATCAAAGGACGAAGGGGTTTTTCTTTTAATTCTTTCCTCCTTCTCAGACTTGATTTTAGTCGCGACATTCGCTTGTCCATTATCGTCTATCCTTTTCTTCGGCTCTTTCCAAAGTGTCCTTCGCAGATCCCTTTATTCCGGGAATCGTATTTTATTCTTTAATCCTTTCTGCCGCGAGAAGAACTTTTCACACGTTTTACAACCCCTAAATTCTTTCTTGGCCATAATAACTGTCACCCTCACCTTCTTGTAAGTGAGTGCTAGGAAAACCAGGAGCAGTTCGCTGATTTAATCTTGATTCTTTCTCTCTCTTTCTTCTTTTCTCTTAGCATTCAAGAGAAGACGATTGTGAGAGTCGAGGGAGTGGTTTGGTGAGAAAGGGCGATTCAAACATACTTATTACCTTAATATCTGCAAGGTGGTATAATAACCTTGCATTTGATTTAAAAAAGAAAACAGTGTAATTTTTCAAATTTCTTTTCACACTTGATATATTGTCAAAAATAGTTCAAATTCACATTTTTTTTTTAGGTTCCACAGGCTGTTCTAAACTTTCTTTGCAGCTTTAACGATTTAATTGCTCAACGTGAAGTTAATACATTTCCTAAGATGGCAGCAGATGCTCCGTACTTCATTACTTAAAACGAAGTGGCTTTATTCGGTAATAACAAATTTCCAAGAACAATAACGCCAGCAATCCTGCAAAAGTCTATTATCGCTTGCAGGCTTTCCCAAGGATGTAGTCAAACTTAAAGTTCAAAATTTCAGAACTCAAGACTTCCGGAGAACGAAGAGCATCTCCGTTCTTTTCACAAAGGAAACAAGAAATCCAAACTAGGCGGACTAAATATTAAATGCAAAAAGAAAATACGAATAAAAGTTCTGTCTTTCGCAAAACGATTTTCCTCCACGATATCGTTGGGCCACCGCGATCTTCTCAGTCATAAATTCTTAAGGGCGGACTAAGGCAGACGCAGCTGGCTCCACCTCAGCGCCGGCCGTTTCCGTGATGAACTAATACATAAGTAAAACCCCACCTAAGCTCGTAAAGCCTCGACATACGCTACCCGGTGTATCATTTGTTTGGATACAGAAACTTTTTCGAATTTTCTTTTCTTACCCATCCTCTCGATCCCCATTCACTTTTTTTTGTATCTCTTTTCTCATCCCCACCCATGACTACTCAGATACGTTTCGCAGGATCTCGTTAATCGACAAGTATTACGGATGGCAGATCCGCTAGGTGTCGGTAGTACGGGAAGTTCAAACAGCATTTGTTAACTGACCATAAAGACGTTAAAGAGCAAACTCCGGTTCAGTGATTCCAGACATGAGTAGGGAGATGCGCAACTCTACCGTTTTAGGCGATTCCAATTTTGGTACTCGCGGACTTTTTTTCGAATTTTGAAAATACTCGAAATTGCACCTTTGGGAGGCTGTATCTCGAAAACGGCTAGGTTTAAGGCTTTTTCCTTGAAATATTGAAAGATCTCTTAACGCAGAAAGTCAGAATAGTCCATAGAAGAGGCTGGTATAGGTCAAATTGCGATAGGGCCACTTTCAAAAAATTCCTTTACTTTACGTTTAAAGATAGTTTACTTGAGAAACGCAATAATGATACAGTATACGAAGTACAGATATGCACATATAGCCCGTAAAAGATTAGCAATAACAATACCATTAGAGATGTATTAAATATATCCCTACAATAATATACATATTGTATGTTATATGCTTTATCACTTTAGACTTTTCCTTTTCCAAAGGACTTTTTAACAATTTAGTCTTTAAGGATATACTGGGAGCAGAGTGACATAGAAAGGAATAGGAGATTCGAAAATTGAGTAGAAACATTTGGTTGCAGCAGACAAAGAAGATTGTTGACGGAGGCGACGATCACAGAATCGTACTTCCAAACTCGATGCTACGATTCAGCGCCATAATTTTGGTATTGCCTAAAATCGTAGCGTTGTGCATCTCCCTTCTCATCTCTGGTGATTCCTACAGCATCGTAAATGGTTCTCGTAATAGCCGCTAGTGGCGGAATTATCGGTGTGACATTTTCCAATCGAAAATCACTGCGCATTACGTTTTAAATACTCATGACTCATCCCGTAGAGATTATGACGGCAAACGACGATTTCTCAGCTCGTTTCCATCCACGTCACTTATCGCTGTAGCTATATTGCTAAACGGGAAATCTATATGATCTAGTCATCTTCCACGAAGCTCCATATAACCCCAGGGGTCCAATTCAATCGGCTGTGATTGTTGCTCTGCCTCCCCAATCCAACTAAAGCTACAGCCAATCCGGAGGCTGGATTCTTGATCTGGCAGCTCCCTTCCTCCCTCCCCCTATATCCATCGCGAACGTCCTGGTATCAAACGATGATTGCATCGTGAGACTAGCCCGCCGGGATCCAGGTCACGTTCAAAATCCTCTAATGCAGCTACTGCCAACTTATAGGCAGACAATCATCTATGTACTTATGTTTGTGTGAGTACATAGCTAAGTACACAGTCGAGTGTACCATACTTGTCAAAAGAGTAAAAAAAAGAAAAGAAAAAAATTCATCTGGAATTCTGTATTAAGAAGCTAAAAAAAACGGTTACCCGGAATTCCAATCTCGATCATAAGATAACATTGGGACATTTATCGGTAAAGTAATAGGGGTTGAAGGGTGGATACGATAGGTATCAGTGTTGGCAGGGTTGAATCGGTGCTGATGATTACAAAGTAATAACTGTAGTGCTTAAGGGGAGAATTTCTTTTAAGGATTGAGCGCTTGGATGAGTCTTAGGGGGGTAGTGAGGAGGGTGGAAAGAGAGACAGAGTGAAAGGGGATGTAAACATAAAGATTTGCGAGAAAACATTCAGTTTTATCGTCGCAGTAAAAATTCAAGAGAATTTCGAATAACGAACTACCCCTCTACGTCTAGTTCGGTAGGTGTCCGCTTGGCGGTGGTGAAAAAATGAGCGCTCCTGTAATCCGTAATGTCTTACATTTAAATTCGGGGAATCCCCTGAGGCATTCCTAACTTAGTTTAAACTGAAAGGTTACTACCCTCGAGCCTCTTGTCGCTCTTACTCGCGATACGTATCCGCGTTATGTTTTAAGGGTTGGGTTAGGTTAGGTACGAGTCAAGAACATACCGTGATGTTCCAGGTGAAATTCTATATAATCGCGCGATGTAAACTCGCTTAAGGTGCGAAGCAATCTCTCGAGCGAATCTAAAGTGTACACATGCAAACCCCCATTGGTCTTTACATTGCCACCCCCGTGTCAGAGTTCACGTCCGGATACGCGCGAGACATCTTCCTACCCCTATGACGTCTACCCATCCGTTGGCTATGTCGTCGTGTGCGTGTGTACCAGCCCTCCTTTCCACCTCAAAAGCGAGAAATTATACATATTTAATATCCTACCATCCGCAGGGATTCCAACCCCTTTCTCTCCCTTTTTCCATCCTCCTCCCTTCCTTCGCCTCTTCTTCTTCTGCCGCTTCGCCAATCCCCACATCCGTAAAGGAGCGCCTTTACACCCGACCACTTTGCTACCGGATGCGTGGTGTACGCTAGGGGATGAAAAATACCAGTTTCAATTGGTTACGTCCTCCAACCCCAAAAATACAAGAGGAGCCGGTAACCCCTAAAACGAAATGTAAGAATTCAACGTCTATCGTGTCACGTAAGTTTACAACCCCTACCCACAAACACCCTCGTAGCCCTGCCACCCTCAATACCAGTTGCCTCTTCGTTCACACCCTTGTACCGTAGGTGGCCGACTAACTTAAACATCCATCCGACACGAATGAACCAAAACCACCCCTACGGTACCACTCGGGTGAAGAACTTAATAGCTGGTGAACTGAAGTCATTTTCATCCCCTGTATATTCAACTTTTTTTTTCAATCTATACACACACCCTTACTGCTCGCGGGAGAAAATTTCTTCAGCTACCGGAACCATCAGACCAGCAGCTCTTCTCGTTTCCGGTAACAGCAACGAGACTATACGTATATATATATACCTATATATATTTATATATAGTATATATACCTTACAAGATTTTCTTATGCTACAGTACCATGTAGTACATTGTGTACGCAGCTTCATTGGCTCCCCCCCGTATCCGGGGCCATTACCAGACAGATTTTTCCAATCTAAA